ACTCGCGAGGCAAATGGCCGACCGTTTTTCGTTGCCCTTCACTACTTTCACAGCTTGTTCCAGTTTGGCCATGGGGTTGTTAAACTCTCATGTAGCAACAAGTTTTTCTCCGATCGATGGCTTCCATACGTCTTTACAAACATGATATCCACGCACAGCTGATGTGAAAGCGAACGTTTCCATGTTGTTTACTGATCGCGGTCTACTACGTGACTCGGCCCAGGCTTTCTGTAATTTTTCTTTTTTTTTTTGGCTAGTCAAAGAAGAGTGCATTCGTAATGCGATGCTCAGTTACACAACTAAGCGGAATTCCTCGGGCTACAACATGCTCTTGTTTTTTGCGTGAAAATTGATTCCACGTATAGTTGAAATCAAAAATGAACTGAGATTAAAAATAACTGCAACATATGCCATGTTTGCCCCATTAGTGTAATCGCTTTAGTTTGTGATAATACTACAGAAGTATCAACTGCAAGGCACGATTAATTCTCCCTGGAAATTTGAGCTCGGTGTTTTAACCTAGAAAGTCACTGATTATTAAAGCCAATTACTCTTTCGCTATCTATAAATCCTTAGAGTGGCAGGGGTAATTTTAGTTGCAGAACGCCAAAAAAAAATGCACTGGATGCTTTCGGTTAGTTTCACTCATGTTTGCTTGCAGCATTATATTGTATTTGGTTCTTTCCAGCGGATAAAAGCTTTCGCAAGCAAAAATGAATGATACCAACCGCAAGCAAAGAGTGCATTCAGCGTTAGGCGTTTTTGTATTCCGCCTTCGGCGATCTGAAAAATACGCCTGCCGACCTAAGGCGCCATCCACACTACGCTGGGGAATTTTGAAAACGCAACAATTAGCGGTCATTTGGATTTGTGTTTGAGGAAAATTAAGGCAGTGAAATCACATGATTATCTCGACGTCATCGTTTTCGAAAAGCTCTGTTTTCAAAATGTTCCCACTAAATCGCAAAGCCGGCGTTTTCATGTTCTTCAGGTTTGAAGAGGGCTTTCGTAAGTTCCGTTTTCGTGACGGATTATAGTGGACGGTAGACCTAACTGTAGAAATAATGCTGCGTTTTCAGATTTCTCAGGCGTAGTGTGGGCGGGGCCTAAGAGCTATAACATTCAGTAACC